CCAATTTTCTAAGAAAGCGCCATATTGATTTCCAAAGTGGTTGTACAAGCTTGCATTCCCACCAGCAGTGGAGGAGAGTTCCCCTAGCTCCACATCCTCTCCAGCATAAGGTGTCTTCAGTGTTTTTGATCTTAGCCATTCTGACAGGCGTAAGGTGGTATCTCAGAGTTGTTTTGATTTGCATTTCCCTGATGATTAGGGATGTTGAGCAATTCCTTAAATGTCTTTTGGCCATTTGAGTTTCCTCTGTTGAGAATTCTCTGTTTAGTTCTATAGCCCATTTCTTAATTGGACTGTTGGGCATTTTGATGTCTAATTTCTTGAATTCCTTATATATTCTGGATATCAGTCCTCTGTCAGATGTGGGGTTGGTGAAGATCTTTTCCCATTCTGTAGGCTGTCGCTTTGCCTTGTTGACCGTATCCTTTGCTTTACAAAAGCTTCTCAGTTTCAAGAGGTCCCATTGATTGATTGTTTTTCTCAGAGTCTGTGCTACTGGTGTTCTATTTAGGAAGTAGTCTCCTATGCCAATGCGTTCAAGACTACTTCCTACTTTCTCTTCTAGCAGGTTCAGAGTAGCTGGATTTATGTTGAGGTCCTTGATCCACTTGGACTTAAGTTTTGTGCACGGTGATAGATATGGATCTATTTGCAGCCTTCTACATGTTGATATCCAGTTTTGCCAGCACCATTTGTTGAAGATGCTTTCTTTTTTCCATTGTGCACTTTTGGCTTCTTTGTCAAAAATTATATGTTCATAGGTGTGCGGATTAATGTCAGGGTCTTCAATTCGATTCCATTGGTCCACATGTCGGTTTTTATGCCAGTACCAAGCTGTTTTTATTACTGTAGCTCTATAGTAGAGCTTGAAGTCAGGGATCGTGATGCCTCCAGAAGTTGTGTTATTGTACAGGATTCCTTTGGCTATCCTGGGTTTTTTGTTTTTCCATATGAAGTTGAGTATTATTCTTTCCAGGTCTGTGAAGAATTGTGCAACTTCCAATTTTAACCCACTTTAACCCTCTGTGTCCTGATACTGCTTGAAAAAAATGTTGAATTAACAGCCTGAATACTTTGAAAAGCTTTGACTTTAGAACAAAAGCCAAAGATACATTATGTTTTGGAAAAATTGTGTTTTTGCCTCCACAGGAAAAGAAAAATACATGGATTTTGGTCATTTGAGTTCAGTGGGTTACAAATACTTGTCATCATTTAGGAGAATTGATTACAAATTATTATTGATTAAGATAAAAAAACTGCTAATCTCAAATGTTTCACATTGATGCAGGTTTTTATATATTAATGCAAAAATAGGGTTTTTGTTATGATAACTGCATATACATCTATATGCTTTTATTCCTGTTTGAAGTGTTATACCTATGCAATGTTCTAAACAGCTGGGAAGAAGCCACAAGAAAAAGGACTTTGGTGGAAATCTGCATGTTGTCTGAAAAGCAAGAGAAGGCAAAAGACTGGAATAATGATAGGAAAGGGAAAAATATGTCAGGCTGAACCAGAAGAGCAAACACAGGGAAGGAAGGGCCTGGCCTGAAGGTACATGGTAAGTTGTAGAAGGCCAGAGGGGGTGTGAAGGAAACTGTAAGATGTATTTGGGATTTGACCATATTATGTTAATTCTGGTTGGTTTTCTTTTCTTTTCTTTTTTTTTTTCAGAGCTGAGGACCGAACCCAGGGCTTTGCACTTGCTAGGCAAGCGCTCTACCACTGAGCTAAATCCCCAACCCTCTGGTTGGTTTTCTTTATTTTAAAAATAGCAGATGATTCTTCATTGGAAAATGTTTATGTTAAAAATGGAAATATATACTCTCTCAATTTCTTACTGATGACTCTTTGGAAATGAAAAATGAAAAATCTATAATATAGAGATCACAAATAATGAATCACTAAGAAAATCAGTTTGTACCTTTTATATTATTTTTTATTAATTTGTAAAGGTTTTGTGTGTATGAATGTCTGCCAGCATGCATGTATGCGCACCACATACGCAGCTGGTACCCACATGAGTCAAGAGAGGGCATCAGCTATCCTGGAATTAGAGTGTGCGAGCCACTAAGTGGGTGCTGGGAAGCAAACCTGGGTCCTCTGTAAGAGCCTCGGGGGCCAGGAAGCAGGGAGCCACCTCTCAGCTCCTGGTTTGTGCGTTTGTAGATTTCCCTCAAGACGCATATTTCATAGAACAAGATGTACTCACTGCACTAGACTTTTCGTACTGCTTTAATTTGTGAGTTTTCTCTAAATTAGAAGTTTTCATGTGACTTTAAAAATAATTGGCATAGTTGGGTGTGGTGGCACAGGCCTTTAATGTCAGCACTTGGGAGGCAGAGGCAGGGGATCTCTGAGTTTGAGGCCAGCTTACTCTACACGGTGTATTCCAAGTCACCCAGACCTACTTAGTGAGACTTTGTTTCAAAAAAAGAAATTAATTTTAAAAATTGGCCTGTTTTCTGCTGCTTTTTGATTCTTTATTACATTCGTGTGCATGTCCATGCATGCCATGGTTTGCACATGAAGGTCGAGAGTTCTCTCCTGTTACCAGGTGAGTCCAGGAAAATAACTCAGATTATCAGAATGGACAGTAAACTCACAGGCTGGTTTTGATTTGGGTTTTGTTTCTTAATCTGTTTGCTTGGTTTGGCTTCTATATTATTGTTGTTATCATCATCATCATCATCATCATCATCATCATTATTTGATTCTCACTACATAACCTAGAATGTCCTCAAATCCACAGCAAACCTGTCTCTACATCCTGAGTACTGAGATTAAAAGCATAAGCCACCCACTTTCAGCTTCAAAGTGATGAATGATTTTCCTGTGAGCCAGAAGCTGCCTCAGCAGTGAAGACTGTGTCCTGCTGTCTCGGGACTCAAGCTCAGTTCTCAGCACTCACGACTACCTATAACTCCAGCTTCATAGAATCCGATCCCTCTTCTGGTCCCTACAGGCACCTACACACAAGTGGCATGTATTATCTCGTATTTCATTGCAGAATAAATAAAGCACATAACAGTACATAAATAAAAACAAGTCTTAAATTTTCTTCTATTTATAACATTTTAAACTTTTTGATCTAATATGTACTAGTTTCTAAATCTTATTTATTTATTATTATTATTATTATTAGTTTTTCTTTCTTTTTTTAAAAACAGGCTTTATTGCCAAGTGATAAGGTTAGTTCATTTTTTTATTTATTTGTTTATTTATTTATTTATTATATATACAGAAGAGTGTGCCAGATCTCATTAGAGATGGCTGTGAGTCACCATGTGGTTGCTGGGAATTGAACTCAGGACCTCTGGAAGAGCAGTCGGTGTTCTTAACCTCTGAGCCATCTCTCCAGCTCTAGTAGTAGTTTTTCAGCAGTATCTATTAGCCTTGTCTGGCTTCGAATTTACTATGTACACCAAGCTGTTCTCAAACTCACAGATATCTGCTGACCTCTGCCTCCCAAGTACTGGGATTAAAGGCGTGTACCACCATGTCTGGCTGTACTGATTGTACCCAAGTGTTTTAGGCAGTGATAGATTACTCTTGATAGACAAGCGTCCTACAAGGCTAGTCTCCCATCTGCTGTTCACTCTGACACGTTTCTGTGGACCTGAGCCTACTGCGGGTGACTGCTCATATTCCACCATTGATGTTCTCCCCAGACGTGTGTTTTCATGGCTTCAGACTGAAGTCAAATGGCATTGCTTCTCTCAGTATTTATATGGATTATCCCCCACTACACAGTCTCAGGGATGCTACAAAGGTGTATAATGAAAGACTGCCTAAAGTCCTTAACATAGGATATGTGCGCTGTCGTGCTGTTGAAGGAAATTATCACAATGTTACACTAGTGAAGTTTTTCCTTGTGAGACCTCAAGTGTGACTGATAATTCCTGGAGCGACTAAAGACTTTCCCACACTGTGTGCATTGACAGGGTTTTTCTCCACTGTGGGTCCTTTCATGCTTGTGAAAGGTACTGGAACAGCTGAACGCTCTCCCACACTCTGCACACACATAGGGTTTCTCGCCAGTGTGAGTTCTTCTATGTATTTGAATGGAACTGTAACTTGTAAAGACTTTCCCACACTCCTCACATCCATAAGGTTTCTCTCCAGTGTGAGTTCTCTGGTGCCTTTGGAAGGAACTAGAGCGATGAAAGGCTTTGCCACACTTCGTGCACTCATACGGCTTTCCTCCGGTGTGGATAATTTTATGTCTCTGGAAAGCACTGAGACAACTGAAGGCTCTCCCACACTCCTGGCAGGTGTACGGTTTCTCCCCGGTGTGGGTCCTCCTGTGTACCCGGACGGAACTGGAGCTAGTGAACGCTTTCCCGCACAGTTTACATCCATAAGGTTTCTCTCCACTGTGGATCTTAACATGCATCTGAAGGTACGTCGAACGGGTGAAGGTTTTACCACACTTCTGACATTCAAAGGGTTTCTCTCCAGTGTGAGTTTTTCCATGCCTTTGAAAGGAACTGGGACAATTGAAAGATTTTCCACACTCCTTGCATTTATAGGGTCTCTCTCCAGTGTGGGTTCTTTCATGTCTTTGAAGGGAATTTGGACTACTTAAGGTTTTACCACATCGTTTACATTCATAGGGTTTTTCTGCACTGTGCAGTTTTTCATGTATTTGAAATGAAATCTGACTAATAAAGGCTTTTCCACACTCCTTACACTTATAAGGCCCATTTCCAGTGTGAGTTATCATGTGCTGTTGAAACGTAGAGAGCGAAAGGAAAGCCTTCCCACATTCCTCACATTCCCGATATACATCCTCTCTGGAGTGGATTTTTACATGGATTTGAAGAGAACTTAAACGCCCAAAGCCTTCACCACATGTTTTGCACTTAAAAGGTCTTTCTTTGGTGTGAGTCACTAAATGTCTTCGCAAAGAACTTGAGCCATTAAAGGCTTTCCCACACTCCTTACATTTGTAGTGTCTACCTTCAGGATGAACACTTTCTTGGATTTGGAAAGCCCCAGAAGTACTTTCATCCTGACCAGGGTGACGGGTTTTATCTTGAGTGTGCACTTCTTCCTGTGTCCGAAGTGAACTGGGAGATGTAAAGGCTTCTCCACACTCCTTAGATCTATAAGGTCCATGTCCACTGTGTGTTCTCATGTGTCTGAAAGCTTTCGGAAGAAGTGAGCAATGCTCCACATCTTTTACATGCGTACTGTGTCTCCCTAGTTCGAATCCTTTCGACTTCACGTTGCTTGGTTCCCTGTGTCTCAGTGCCATCTTCTTGATACTCACAGGGTTTGTGTTCAGTGTGAATGCTCACGTGCCTGTGAAGAGACTCATGAGCAATCAAGACTTTCCCACACACAGTGCACTCACAGCCTTGCCCTTCAGCTTCCCCGCTCAGACTGAGACCTGGAATCTGGCTTCCTTCATAACAACCATATTCTTTTCTTTCTGAAAATCTCTCTGCCACAAGACTTCTGTAAAAAAAAAAAAAAATGAGATGCATTATTACTGTGTTAATCAGGTTTTTTTTTTTTTAATCAACTAAACACAAACTAGTCACCTGGGAAAGGAACCTCAGTTAAGAACTGCCTTCATCAGAATGGCCTGTGGGCATATCTATCTGGTATTTTCTGGATTAATGATCAGGAAGGCCCAGCTCATTGTATACGGTTACTCCAGACAGGTGGTCCCAGTTATATAAGGAAGCAGGCTGAGCGAGCCTTGGAGGGCAAGCCAGTAGGCAATGTTCCTTCATGGCCTCGGCCTAAGCCCCCAACTCAAGTTCTTGCCATGACTGCCCGCAGTGATACCCTGTTCCCAGGAAGTACAAGATGAAATAATCCTTTTCTTCCACGGTGCTTTTGGTTAGTGTCTTAGTTCTTAAAATCTTATATTCATTAGCATGAACTACACTTGTGCTGTTAACACTGTTGGGAAAAAGTAAGGCTCTTGAAATTTCTTAGGCATAAACTAATGCTCTGTAAAGTGTTTGATTGCAGCTAATATCAAAACACTAGTATTCAGATTTGGGGACTCTTGACAGTGACAGAAACTGACATAGCATATATGTAAAAAATTAAGGCTATATTTATTAAAAATTGTTTGAAGGATAAGTATATTTGAAGCAGGACTTGTGGTTTTTTTAATTTCATGACAATATATCTCTACAGTCCCAGATACTAAAAAGTTTGAGCAGATGAATCATTTGAATCCATAGTTGAATCTAACTTCAATGATATCATGATAAACCATGAGATCTATGATTTTAATAAAAATATATATTCATGACTATTTCACACTAGTGGGCACTATTTCCCCTAATGAATACAAAGTACCTGAGGTTTGTTCCAGGATTTCTGTGCTGATCTTCAATGTGCTGACCTTCCCACTGTATTCCTAAAATGTAGACCAGAGAAAACAGCAGAATTTACCATGCTTGGAAGAGTTATTGAATCTGTTTCATGGTACACAAGGCCCTGCTGATTTATCAAAGTATTCTCTCTCTGTATGCTGAGTCACTGAACACCAAGGCTAATATGACACAACTTCCTTTAAATGATGAAGGGAAGGGATGGTGTCATCCTTACCTACAGCAGTCAGGTTTCTGACCGTTTCCAACATCACATCCCTGTAGAGATTCTTCTGAGCAGGATCCAGCAGAGTCCACTCCTCCTGGGTGAAGTTCACAGCCACATCCTCAAAGGTCAGTGACCCCTGCAACATCCCCCATGATGCACAGGGAAGCATGAGACAGATAGCACTGATATCTACACTCGATGTAGGAGCAGTTTCTCAGATTCTGATCCACACATGGTTATTGAAGACTTTATCAGAATCTTGCCCTGGGGCTCCATTCACATTCCCTCACAGAACAAATTACAGAAACAAAGTATTGACAAGGACAACAGCGAAGCAGGGACACCCCTCGGACAGCAGGAGGCGGGAAGACTTGCTCCAGAGTCACTTGTAGTTCCCTTTTCTACCGATGTCTGGTTCTGTCCTAACACGGCTCTGCTCATGAGCGAGTTCGCACGACAATACTTGAATACTTTCCTTTAGAAATGCCATCAGGGAGCAGAGATGGCTCAGCAGGGACAGCGTTTGCTGAGAGGCCTGACAAGCTGGGATCAATCCAGAGGACCCACATGGCAGAAGGAGAGACGGATTCCAGCAAGCTGTTCATTGATGTCCAGATGTGAGCTATGGTACACACATGACCACACACACACACACACACACACACACACACACACACACACACACACCCTTATTAATGAATCTCTAACATATGTACATACTTGCACTGTTCCATGTTCATACACGTGGATTTTAGCTCATTGTGTGTAAGACTAAGATTGTGGAAATGTGTATCATGTTTCCTCTACAAATTTCATTAAGTACTCACAAAGCCAATGAGAACACTCCACTCTTCTCATGGAAAGGTGACATTCTTCATTAAGTTCTATCAGATGTGTATGAAGAAAGGAGAAATGGTACAAAATCTTAGAAAGAACCCAGGTCACCAAGCCATCAACCAGTGGAAGAGTGTACAAAATTCTGGAAATCCTCTAGGAAACATTTTAGGAATCTAACGAGGAGGACCAGATGCCAGGAGCTGACTCAGCGGTAGAGCAGATTATCATAAATGAAAACTTGGATGCCACCCCAAGCACTGGAAAAATAGTTCAGGGAATGTCTACCACTGGTCAAAGCCTTCTGCTCAAGAAAGCAGCGACAGGCTGGAGAGATGGTGCTGTGGGATGGTCTGTATGTCAAATGTGTTGCTGATTGGTCAATAAATAAATCACTGATTGGCCAGTGGCCAGGCAGGAAGTATAGGCAGGACTAACAGAGAGGAGAATTGAGAGAACAGGAAGCTGGGTGAGGGAGACACTGCCAGCCGCCACCATGACAAGCCGCATGTGAAGATGCCGGTAAGCCACGAGCCATGTGGCAAGGTATAGATTAATGGAAATGAATTAATTTAAGCTGTAAGAACAGTTAGCAAGAAGCCTGCCACGGCCATACAGTTTATAACCAATATAAGTCTCTGTGTTTACTTGGTTGGGTCTGAGCGGCTGTGGGACTGGCGGGTGAGAGAGAGTTGCCCTGACCGTGGGCCAGGCAGGAAAACTCTAGCTACAAGATGGTTCCCTGGTTAGGCACATTTACTGCTCTTTCAGAGGACCTGAGTTCAGTTCCCAGCTGCCGGGGACCAGCCTCAGCAGTTTCGGGGGTCTGAAGGGTGGGATACCCGGAAGGCGCAATAACAACTCAGAGACAATGTTCTTGCGAGCTGACAGGTCACTTCGGGCTTCTGCAGTTGCTAAGTTTCTTTTGCTTCCCTGGCTTCTCTTAGCTTCTGCTTTTGCCCTGGTGACCTCAGTCTTTTATTATCATAAGAAAAGGGGGAACAGAAAGAAAAGGGGGAACAGAAAGGAAAGGGGGAAATCACCCAATACAAAATGTTCTCATGATTCCAAAAATTATTCTTAGAAAATCACCAATATATCCTTCATCATCTTTTACTAAACACCGGAACTATCCCAGACTTAACACCAAAGCAAGCATAATCTATTTTTATTATTAATGATTATACAATCTTTTGAGCACTCGACTCAGAGGCTAGTAACATGCAATTTTGCAAAAAAGGTAAAAATAAGAACAGTGGTCAATGTACCAGACAGTCATTTCCTTCTCACACAGCCTGCTCCGACCTCAAGACCCCTGTAGCCACCCAAGTTCCTCCTCAGCCCTCTGCAAACCCCAAGCCCCATGACTCATGGGCCACAATGACCTCAGACAAGAAATCTGTCCCTACAAGTCAGCAACTTCTGTCCTTCTATATCCAACAATTCCAAGGAAGACTTAATCTAATTTATAGAGCTTCTATGAAAGGAAGCTCACCTTTTCTGGCAGCTTCTTTTAATCTAGGAACCCAATAAAGCTTGTGGCAATCACTCCATCAGTTGTCACATTATCTCCACACTCCTTCAGGAGGAATAAAAAGTATCTGAATTAAAGTTGCCATCTCCCTTTCTTGGTGGAGGCCACTATTTTCCTCCTATTTTAGGTTCCCACACTTTTAGTTTGTCATCCATCTATATGTTACTCCACCCACAGTCTTCAGCCAACACCCCTTAGGGTCTCAGTTTTTTTGTTTTTTTGTTTTTTAAAGATTTATTTATTTATTATGTATACAGTGTTCTGTCTGCACGTATCCCTGCATGCCAGAAGAGGGCACCAGATCTCATTACAGATGGTTGTAAGCCACCATGTGGTTGCTGGGAATTGAATTGGACCTTTGGAAGAGCAGCCAGTGCTCTTAACCTCTGAGCCATCTCTCCAGCACCAGGGTCTCAAGTTTTACACAATGTCCTTGGAATGTCCTCAGAAGCTGAATTATTCACCTCAGGACCTTTGGAAGAGCGGTCAGTGCTCTTAACCTCTGAGCCATCTCTCCAGCACCAGGGTTTCAAGTTTTACACAATATCCTTGGAATATCCTCAGAAGCTGAATTATTCATCGTGGCCAATTTAAGTCTAGTGTGTTGATACACATCATACCATGTGCTATAGTTGACCACACATTTGGTACATTTTATCCAAGCCTAAAAAGCTTCCCCAGGCTGCAGGTTCTTTTCCATGAACTACATAACTGCCTTAACCCCAGCCTGGGTGATCATCTCTGCATAATTTCCTGTGAAATTTACTTCACTCCTTTCCTGCATCACAGAAATCACCACTGATCTAGGAACACAGAATATGAAGATCAGATAGAAGAAAAAGACTAGTATTACAAGAAATATTTATATGGAGGAGGACATGACATGTGCATGCCACAAAGCATGAGCTTGGGACACGTAGGCATTTCTGCCTTGGCCCCCTAGAGGCATGTTAAGCAGCAGATCCGGAGGGGAACACACGGAGGGTTGATGGTCCACAATCTCGGGTCCCCTTTTCTCCAGTCTCTGCTGGCAGCACGTCAGCCATCTTATATGCCGTTCCCGGCACCAGCGCTCACATCAAGCAGCCGGTGACTCTGGCCCCAGAGGATCCACACCCTCTTCTAGCCTCTACAGGCACCGTTTTCATGTGCACAAGCCCACATGCATAATTTAAAAAATAAAGTATTTTTTAAAAGAAAAAAGCAATAAGCTGTCTGCACACAGTGGTACATAACAGCATATTCCTACAGAGCAGGATCACTTTAGTCCAGAAGATTCAAGACCAGCCTGAGAAACAAGGGCAAGAACTCGTTTCCAAAAGTAAAATGAAAACAAGTGATGGACTGCTCACCAAAACCAAGATTATTATTCCAAACATTTGAGTAGCAGACGTGTAGAAGGGATAGGAAATGGCCTCGGCTGGTCAGCACTTATATGGAAAATGGATTAATGATAAAGCATATTCGTACACTCAGAGGAAAAGACCAAGAACATTTTTCTAAGGATAAGGAAAACATCTGCTACCCAGATGAAAGCAAGCTATAATTCCTTCTAGTTCATGGGCACTCGTCAACTGACTATAGTTCAAGGTTGAAAATATAACTGCAGAACTTACACATGTCAGAGACAAGTGGCATTTTATGAAAGAACATACACAATTATTGTGACACACACACACAAGAACACAGAAGAAGGTGTGGTGGTGTATGTTGGTAATTAGTAAGACTCAGAAGTTTGGGGGAGGAGGGTCATCATTCTGAGACCAATCCAATCTAACCTGAGACTAGGCTGAGACACAATGAAACTGTCTCACAATAAAACATGCAAAAGAAATTCTTTTAAAAGAATAACTGTGGATGACAGGCTGGGAGGGACGGAGAGGCACACACACACAGAGATCTCCGAGGAGAAAACACGTTGAGGGGAACTATTATGGTGAGCAAATGTATGGTGTGGTATGAGGGAGAGAGAGACAGAATGGTCCGTGTCCTGTGGACACAGGAATACCAGAAGAGGTGAAAGCAATGAGGAACGGGCGGAGGTGGGTGGCCTGATTGCCACCCAGGGCCATGGTGATGTCTGGGCTTGGGCTGCTGCTGAAGCCGCATGTCTGGGTCCCTGAGCCTGATGCAGCCCTAGTCTGTGTTGACGTCAGTGCTCCTGATACCACCGAAGGCCCAGAGGAAAGGGCTGCACAGAGTGGGCCCCGCCCCTCACGGGCTGCAACACTAGGGAGCACTGGCCCTGTCCCCCACAGGCTGAGGCACTCGGGAGAGAGGGTCCTACAACCTCTCCTGGGCAGCACAACAGAGCCAACCCTGTTCACAGGGGCATCGGCGAGCTGGCGCTTAGGGCGTGAGAATGGGGGAGCAGGTTGCGCCCCCTCATCTGCCATGTGGTGGCATGGATGAGGGAAAGATGCCCTCCACCCCTCGCCCCTTGACACCTGCAACAGGTGGGGGACCTGACGCACCCCTCACCAGCTGCAGCACTCAGGAGAACCGGCCCTGCGCCTGGCCTGGGCGGCACAGTAGAGCTGACCGTTTAGGCAGGGGTGTGGGTGAGCTAGTCCTTAGGGCACGAGAGGGACACAGCTGGCACCGCCTCCCTTGTCTGCCATGTGCTAGTGGGGTCCAGGGAAAAATGCCCTCCCCCTCACCCCTACTGCCTCCAGATGGCGGGGTGCTGACCTTCCCCCCCTTCACCAGCTGCAACACTGGTCCAAGTGGGCCCTGCGCTTCGTCTGGGCAGCGCGGCAGCGCCCACC